CCAGCCCCTTCCTTACTCCTTTCAGGTCATTCCTCAACTTTCATCCTTTAGAGAAGCCTTCTGTGTCTGTCCTGTTTAAAGTAACTTCTTCCTTCCACTCTCCATCCCCTTACCTTATCTCTTTTGTGTCTAAACACTGATTACCTAATGACATATTTTTTATTTTCTTGTTTATTATCTGTCTCATCCCACAAGAGTAGGGATTTTGGCAGTTCCATTTTTTGCTGTCCACAAAAACCTCTGATGGGCCTTCCGTGCTTGGTAAATACTTGCTGAGAGAATGAATTATTAGGGTTGTGGTGGTGGCTCATTGGTAAAGCACTAGCCTAGCATGTGTGAGGCACTGGGTTTGAGTCTCAGCACCACAAGTAAATAAATAAATAAAGGTCTATGGACAGCTAAAAAAGAAAAGAAAAAAAAATCTATATATTAGTTGTAAATGGGTACAACACCTTTATTTTATTTATCTTTTGTGGTGCTGAAGATCGAACCCAGTGCCTCACACATGCTAGGCAAGTGCTCCACCACTGAGCCATGACCCCAGCCCAAGAATGAACTATTAACGTAATTCCTATTCACTGGCACAGGAATGGGAAAGCTCCCCTTGCAGCTCCCCCAGCCTGTGACCCCAGCCTTTCTCTGCTTGAAGGCTGCCTTGCCCACGTGCTGCCAGCCACCGTGCTCTTCCACTAGCTCATCCTTGCCTTCCTCATCCCTCTTCTCACTCCTTCATTTCTCACTGCATTCTTCACTTCGTTTCTCTTTTTTCCTCTTTAATTTGTGTATTTCTCAGTTCTACTATTTAAAAATTAAAAGTAAAAATTAGTTCATCCTAGAGGCTGTAAATTTACATGCTCTTCCAACCCCCAAAACAAAATAGAGGCTTGTCTGCAAGCACACCAGATGAAGCCCTGAATTCTGTGAGTGGTTAATGAATATAACCACTCTTCTTTTGTCTGTCTCCCTTTTAGTCTACATGCTGCATCATGATTAATGTGTTCAGGATTATTAGATACTTGCTTCACTTGACTGGGTCTCATTTTCATATGCAAACAACCTCAAGGGTTATAGTCCTAAGTATTGTCATTTTTCATTTTTACCTAACAGATTAAGGTCCTTTAACAAATCAGGCGGCATTTTCTGTCCCCCTTTCAAAGATTTCCTTTTTTTCTTCAATATCAGTATATTTAAGGACTTTGTAATCATGCCCCATGTGCCAATAATATCCAGGAATTATATAATCTATATATTCCCTGTAGGTCACAGGAGCACAAATTACCGTGCTTATTTTTATAGCGATTCTTAAAAACTTACAGAGAAGAATGGAAGCAAATGGACCTTACATTCCTATTACTCCAAAGATAGCTCATTGATTTAGAACACACTAGAGTGATTAATGGGTAATTTTGGAACTTTGTTTTACAGTGAATCTATAAATATAATTATATCTTTAGGTAATTATAACATAATTACTATACAATTATAATTTTGTAGACATTTTTAGGTATGTAGAGATTCAGACTTTCTAAATTTAGAAGGTAAAACTTATTCACAATTATCAGGCTGTAATTGAACTCTTGGTAATTATTATCAATACCAGTGTACTAGGCATTATGATTCATCAGTTTCCACATAGTAACTTCAAGTTGCCACATTTTAGAGAAGACCACCCTATGTACAGCCAGCTTCCTGCTTTCCCCCTCCCTTTATTGTAATATCTAAATAGTCATATCCTATATGCAGTTTTAGTGGTACTCTTATTGCTTGTAATACACTTTAAGTTTAGCAGTGTTGGATTGGACATTTTCAGCGTCCATGTGCACTATCATACCTGTGGAGATGAGCAGAGTGCTGACTATAAAAGGAAAAATTATGGAATTTCTACCTAAGATTTCCAGCATGATTTAAACCTTGTTGGTGTTAATCTTGGTTGATGGTAGACAGTGTGAGAAGCTCTTCACATGTTGCAATGACTTTTGATGTCAAACACTCCAAGGCCAGGCTTTACAGGGTAAGGGCACAGTCCTACACAAGCCACCCTTCAGCACCAGCTGTAAGTCCAGGGGTTCTCAGACTCATTTCTGACCAACTAGATACAAATTTGGGGCTTCCCTTGGTAATTTGTTAGAATGATTTGCAGAACTCAGGAAGGTGCTTTATTTAGCAGTTTTATTACAGCCAAAAGAACACAGATCAAAAATATCTAAAGGGAGAGGTGCAGAGGGTGAAATGGGAGAAGTTTCCCTCCTGCCTCCATCTTGTGATTACTTTGAGCTCATTTTGCTAATCTAGGATAATCTACCCATCTTGAAATCCTTGATTTAATCATATTTGTGAAGTCCCTTTGGCCATTAACAGGATCAGGAGTTGAACATCTCTGGTTTGCGGAGGTGGATTATTCAGGTCACCATATCCAGAGTTGCATATGTGCCTGTTGATAGTTTTTCAGAGTTTAAATTATTAGGATATAATTCCATTTAAGCAAATTAATTATATAATTAAGGTCCCTCCTCCTCTTTGAAATAGTTTAAGCCAGGGTTTTATTGTTTGTTTGTTTCTTTGCTAGAGATCAAACCCAGTGCCTCACATGCCAGGCAAGCCTCTACCACTGAGCCACCACCCCAGCCTCTGTATAGTGGTACTCTTTTGATATGGAGGTCTCAGTGTGTTGCCCATGCTGGTCTCAAAATCCTGAGCTCAGGCAATCCTGCCTCAGCTTCCTGAATAGCTGGGATAAAAGTGTAGATGTGCTTACCACCTCACCTTGTGTGTACTGGTATTTTTTTTTTTTTCCTTTTGGATACTGGGGATTGAACTCAGGGTACTTGACCACTAGCCACATCCCCAGCCCTACTTTCTATTTTTTATTTAGAGATGTGGTCTCACTGAGTTGCTTAGCACCTCTGTTTTTGCTAAGGCTAGCTTTGAACTTGGGATCCTTGCGCCTGAGTTTCCCAAACTGCTGGGATTACAGATGCTCACCACTGCGCCCAGCTTTAGTGGTACTCTTATTGCTTGTAATACACTTAAGTTTTTGTTCTGTTTTTTCAAAAAATTGTTTGTCACAAATTACAGAATTGATTTCATAATATACTAACATATCTCAACAATTTGATAAAAGTCAAATTACAGTGGGGAACAGAGTTTATGCTTTTCTGGTGCTAGYGGGTGGAGCCCTGTGTAGAGCACTTGTCTAACATGCATAAGACCCTGGGTTGCATCCCCAGCACTGTGAGAGGGAGAGAGATAAAGCATTATAAGGAAAATGGGAAGGATCGAAGGTATAGGAGTTAATGTGGAATTATTTTTATATTGAATGTTAGGAAGGTATTTGAACATAGACCTAAAGGGAGTGAGAGAATCAACAAATCTGAGTTTTCCAAGTGAAATATAATTCCTCTCTTCAGGGTTGATTTTTGAGAGCCTGCACTATGCCCTGTTTTATTTCTTCTCCCAACTTCTTTTTCCATTGTACAAGATTAGCTTTCTCTTTTCTTTTACTTTTACAGACTTGAATTATTACCAGGTTTCAGAACAATGCATGTTAGTATTCCAACCACTTTCCTAAATTATTCTTCTTTTTTAAAAAATTTTTTAATTGTAGTTAGACGCAATATGTTTATTTTATTTATATGTGGTGCTGAGGATCGAACCCAGGGCCTCACATGTGCTAGGCGAGCGCTCTACTGCTGAGCCACAACCCCAGCCCCATTTCCTAAATTTTTCTTGAAATATAATTTCTACCAAAACCTAAAGTACTATTTTATGCCCAAAGAAAAGGTAAATAAGCTTTTAATTTATGTTATTGTGGTTGGAATGTGGATTATTTTTTTGTTGTCTTGAAACCATCTGATTTCAAGCTTGTGGCTCTCATAGTAAACATCATATTTACACTTCTAGAAATGAGCCACATTTTACACGTTGGAGTTAGAAGATTCTTGATCCACTCTTTACTTCCATCTGGATGAAAAACATGAGAAAAGGATAAATGATGTTATAAGGACAAGATGACTCTTCCCCTGCTTATTAAGGCCTTATCCTTTGTCCTTACTGTGATTTTTTTTGGTTCCAGGGATCAAACCCAGAGGCACTTAACCACTGAGCCACATCCCCAGCCCTTTTTATTTTTTATTCTGAGAAAGGATTTCACTAAGTTGCTGAGCCTGGCTTTCAACTTGTGATCCTCCTGCCTCAGCCTCCTGAGACTCTAGGTTTATAGGCATGTGCTACTTAATCTGGCCCCTACTCTGAAATTCTAACATTTCTAAAGAAAGTATTAACCTGTCCTTATTTCTGAATGTTGCTTTCTCTTATAGGCAATACAAGAAAAAATGAGATGGAAACTCTTCAAAAATTTGCATTAAAATACATTTCACATGCAGAGCTATCCTGCTGGCAAATCTGGAAACAGGTTGCAAGTGAATTAACCAGATGTCTTCAGAAGAAGAATTTCCAGTTATCACAAGGTAATTCCATTCAGGTTTTTGAAAGTGAGAGCATTATAAAGAACCATAAAGGAAATGGTTCCAGGTATGTTGAAAATGAAGAGTTTTCAACTTTAAGAACCCAGGATTCTTGCCAGAATGCATATCTGAGCAAGTCACAGAATCTCAGTAGAGATAAGCAAATTGATGTGAAAAGCAGTCTGCATTTGAGTGAAGACTTGATGAGGAAATCACTAATCAGTGAACACGTTAAAAATGAGACAGAGCAAAAGCCCTGCAAATGCGACAAATGTGGCAGGAGCGATATCTGTGGCTCCAATCTGCAGTTACCCTTTCAAGAGAAACCACATCCATGTAGTGAGTGTGGAATGCGCGTCCATTATAGTCCAGTGCTTCACCTTCATCAGAAGGTTCACACAGGAGAGAAGTGCTTCAGTCAGAACACATACCTGCAAGCTCATCAGAGAGTTCACCCAGGAGAGAAACTGGGTAAGGGTCAGGAATCTGGTGATTGCTTCAATAAGAACCCTTTTTATTCTCACCAGTCTAACCCAGGAGAAAAGTCCTATAGATGTGACAATTGTGGCAAGAGATTCAGTAGCAGCACAGGTCTCATCATTCATTATAGGACTCACACTGGAGAGAAACCTTACAAATGTGAGGAGTGTGGTAAAAGCTTTAGTCAAAGTTCCAATTTTCAGTGCCATCAGAGAGTTCACACTGAAGAAAAACCATACAAATGTGAAGAGTGTGGCAAGGGCTTTGGCTGGAGTGTTAATCTCCGTGTCCATCAGAGGGTCCACAGGGGTGAAAAGCCTTATAAATGTGAAGAGTGTGGGAAGGGATTCACTCAGGCTGCACATTTCCACATCCATCAGCGAGTCCACACTGGGGAGAAACCCTACAAATGTGATGTGTGTGGTAAGGGCTTCAGCCACAATTCACCACTGATATGCCATCGCAGAGTCCACACTGGGGAGAAGCCATATAAATGTGAGGTGTGTGGGAAAGGTTTTACCCGAAATACAGATCTTCATATCCATTTCAGAGTTCACACAGGAGAGAAACCTTATAAATGTAAGGAGTGTGGTAAGGGCTTCAGTCAGGCCTCAAATCTTCAAGTCCATCAGAATGTCCACACTGGAGAGAAACGATTCAAGTGTGAAATATGTGGGAAGGGCTTCAGTCAGTCCTCAAAGCTGCAAACCCATCAGAGAGTCCACACGGGAGAGAAACCATACAAATGTGAAGTGTGTGGCAAGGACTTCAGTTACAGTTCAAATCTGAAACTTCACCAGGTAATTCACACTGGAGAAAAACCATATAAATGTGAGGAGTGTGGGAAGGGCTTCAGCTGGAGGTCAAATCTTCATGCTCATCAGAGAGTCCACTCAGGAGAGAAGCCCTACAAATGTGAGGAGTGTGATAAGAGCTTCAGTCAGGCCATCGATTTTCGGGTCCATCAGAGAGTCCATACTGGAGAGAAACCATACAAATGTGGTATATGTGGTAAGGGCTTCAGTCAGTCCTCAGGCCTCCAGTCCCATCAGAGAGTCCATACTGGGGAGAAGCCATATAAATGCGATGTGTGTGGAAAGGGCTTTAGATACAGTTCACAGTTTATATACCATCAGAGAGGACACACTGGAGAAAAACCTTACAGGTGTGAGGAGTGTGGGAAGGGCTTCGGTAGGAGCTTGAATCTTCGCCATCACCAGAGGGTCCACACAGGAGAAAAACCTCATAAGTGTGATGAGTGTGGTAAAGCCTTTAGTCTTCCCTCGAATCTTCGAGTCCATCTGAGTGTTCACACCCGGGAGAAACTCTTTAAATGTGAGGAATGCGGGAAGGGCTTCAGTCAGAGTGCACGCCTTCAAGCCCACCAAAGAGTCCACACTGGAGAAAAACCTTACAAATGCGACGTTTGTGGCAAGGACTTCAGTCACCGGTCTCGTCTTACATACCACCAGAAAGTCCACATTGGCAAAAAACTCAAGAAATGAAAATTTTTTTGTTGACTTCTGCCAGAATGTACAACTTCAAGTTTTTTGAGTCTGTTGCTGGTGATGAAACCCTATTAAAATATCGAGAGTGGAAGGGGTTTTCTTCAGACTCAGAATCTAACACATACTTTAAAATGATGACGTACAACCAGAGTAACAGGACTAGAATTCAAATTTTGGGAAGAAATTGATATTGCATCTTGTTGGCAAGATCCAGTTAATATAAATGACCATCTTTCAGTGTGACTCTATGCTCAAAGGTATTGTATAAAAGGATATTTGCCATATGTTAACTAGTTATTATTTTTGATCAGGAAGGGTTTTGAACTATTTTTCCTTTAACTTTCCTTTTATACTTACAGTGGTCATTATTTTTACTAAAAAGCTGTAAAGCTATGGAAAAATAAAATTGCTGACTAAAAATTTCCTGTCACTAAGGATGTACAACATGATTATTTTATGTAGTATAAAGGGGTATAATTAAGTAGTAGATTCTCAGAGATGAATTTTTGATCTTCAAATGTAAATTTATGTCTGCCATGATATATAAGAAAAGATAGTCATTGAATCATTGTTTTAGTAGCAAACAAATAACCAGTTGGATTGCCAAGGTATTTTATGCATTATCATTGCATGGAATACTATACAAACACTAAATGAGAGAAAGTAAATTTGTATTTACAGAGGTTGGAAGATTTTCAGAATTTATTAATCTGAGAAAACGTAAAACATGAGTCTTTGTGAAATCCTATTTTTTTAAGAAAAAGTATAGATGTATAGATATTTCTAATTATCTCTAAATGATGAGATTTTGATTCATATGTTTATATTTTTTTATTTTGAAATCATATGAAACTTAGAAAAACTGTAAAATTTATATAAATTCTCTCATATACCCTTTACCCAGATTCATCTTAACACAATTGAGTCAGTCTTCACTTATCTGGATGTGCATATGTATACTTACTGATGCCTATGTATACACACTTTTTTCTTAACCACACAAGAATATATTGCAGTCATCTTGCCCTTACACTCAATACAAAGTATATTTTCCTAAGAATAAGAATATTTACTTAAAACAGCTATGCTATAATATTCAGGAAAATTTAATATTGATATTTAAGATCTTAATTCTTTCACCAATGCCACTTATTACTATAGCTTAATTGTAAGTCTCTAAATCAGGTAGCATGAGTTCTCTAACTTTGCTTTTTTGAAATTGCTTTAGCTATTCCAGTTCTTTGTTTTTTCATGTAATTTGGAGAATCATTTTGTTGATTGGAAAAAAAAAAAAACCTACATGGCTTTTAATGGGAAGTGTGTTGGAAGACTTGGCATGTTTGGGTCTTCCCATTCATCTATCTCCTTCCTGTTGACTTAGGTGTTTTATTTCATTAGTGATTTTTATTTTTCAGTGCACAGGTATTGCTTGTGTTTTGTTAGATTTGTAGTGAAAAGTTTTCTGAAATCTTAATATTACAGGTTTCTACTTGTTTATTTCTAGTATATAGAAATCCATTTTATTTATATTAATATTGTACTCCTAGAACTCTAGACCTATCTAAACTCACTAGTCTTGTACCTTTTAAATAGATTCTATATAATCAGGTTGTCTGAAAATGGAGATACTTATTTCTTCTTTTCCAGTTTGTTTTTTGCATGTTTGCTTATTTCTTTATTATACTTTTTTATTATTAGTTGTTCAAAACATTGCAAAGCTTTTAACATATCATATTTCATACATTTGATTCAAGCAGATTATGAACTCCCATTTTTACCCCGTATACATATTGCAGATTCACATCTTTATTACACTTTTTAAGCCTTCCAAAAAGCTGTTGCATGGAAGAGCTGAAAGGTAATGTCCTTTTTCTTGATCTTAGAAATTAGTCTTTTTTTTTTTTTTTTTGTGGTACTGGAGATTGAACACAGAGCTTGGTGCATGCTAGACATGTGCTCTGCCACTGAGCTATGTCCCCAGCCCAGTCTTTTAGGTGTTATATTAGCTGGAGGTTTTTGTCACAGCCTTTATATGAAGTTAAGGGAAATCCCTCTGTTCTTAGTTTGCTGCAAAATTTTCACAATAAATGGATGTTGCATTTTCTTAAATGCTTTTTTTCTGCATGTTATTAAAATAGTCATGTAGTTTTTCTACTTATTACTCATTCATTTTCAAATGTTGGAGTAACATTGCATTCTTGAGATAAATCCAATTGATCATGATACATTCTCATATATAGTATTCTATTTGTTAATATTGAGTTTGCATAAGGATTATTGGTCTGTTGTCTTCATGTCATATATTTTTTTCTTATTTTGGTAACAAAATAATGATGGCCTCATAAAATGAGTTGGAAAGTGTTCTATCCTCTTTATTTTCCTAAAGTATTTGTGCAGAATTGGTGGTGGAGAAGGGTGTCCTTAGTGTTTGATAGATGTAAGAGTTGAGACCTGTTGTTCTTTTGGAAGTTTTTTTTTTTTTTTCATTTGAAGCTGGAATTCAGTGTTGTTAGATACAGGAATAATCAGATTGCCTTGTTTCTTTTTGGATTTGTGTCTTTTAAGGAATTTGTCCATTTCACCCAAATTGTCACATGACATAAAGTTGTTCATAATTTTCTTTATTGTTTTACTATCATTAGGATCTGTCATCATGTCTTTAAGTCCTGCAGTTAGTAATTTCTACTTTTTCTTTTCATAGTTTATTGATTTTTTGACTATTATTCTTCTTTAATTTCTTTTTTATCTTTATTATTTTCTACCTTCTTTTTGGTTTATGTTTAATTTTCTCCTTTTTAGTTTCTTAAGGTACAAACTTAGGTAACCAATTTAAGGCTTTTCTTCTTTTCCAATATAAGAATTTAATGCTCTAAATTTTCCTCTAAATGCTGCCCTAGCTTCACATTTTATTTTTTACTTTAATGATTTTTTCCATTTTTCCCTTGTGACTTCCTTTTTTTGATCCAAGGGTTGATTTCCAGCTATTTGGGGACTTGCCTGAGATTATTTTGTAATTGGTTCTCATTTCACTTTGTTGTACTCTGAGAACATACTAGTGTTGTTTCAGTTCTTTTAAATTGATTGCAGTTGATTGTGGCCCATAATATGATCTATCTTAATGTATGTTCCATTTGCCATTGGAGAAAAAAGCATATTCTGCTGTTGTTGGCTAGAACATTTTATAAATGTTAGGTGAGGTTTATTAATAGAGTTATTGAGACTTTTGTATCCTTGCTGGTTTTCTTTCCACTTATTGCATTAACCAGTGAGCACAAAGTCTCTGATTGTAATTGTGGATCTGATTAGTCTTTCAGTCTACCAGTTTTGGCTTCATGTATTTTGAAGTTCTGTTGTTTTGTGTATACACATTTAATTTTATACCTTTTTAGTGAAATTAATCCTTTTATTATTATTCAGGGGTCCTCTTTTCCCAGGTTAATTTTCTTGTTTTCGTGTCTACTTTGWTTACTTCTATTTTTTTATTTAAAAAAAAATTGTTTGTAGTTCTAGATGGACAGAATGCCTTTATTTTATTTATTTTTATGTGGTGCTGAGGATGGAACCCAGTGCCTCAATGCATGCTAGACAATCTACCCCTGAGCTACAGCCCCAGGCCCTGTTTACTTTTAATATCACCATTCCTTTCTGTTTGTTTCTGTTTTATTATTGTTTTTGAGACAGGGCCTTACTGTGTTGCTTAGACTGGATTCAAACTTGCAGTCCTCCTGCCTCAGTTAGCTGGGATTATAGAAGTGCACTAATGGGCCCAGTTTCTAGCTTTCTTTTTATTTGTGTTGGCCTAATATTAATATAGCCATTTTAGCTTAGATCATTGTTGTTTTATTCTCTAGTGTGACCATTTCTGCCTTGTTATTGGTGTGTATATGTCATGTTTCATGTAATTATTGACATGATCAGATATTAACCCATACTTTTAGTTGCCTTCTGGTTTTTCTCCCTTCCCTTTCCTCCTTATATCTTCTTCACCAATTAATTTGAAATTTCTAATGATTTCATATTATGTCCATACTTGACCTATTATGCTTCTTTTATTGTTGTTTTAGTGATTATCATAGAAATTACAATACACATTGTTGTCATGGGCATATGGAATATTTTTTAGGATAGATCACTAGACCATAACACAGGTCCAAATAAAAATAAATCTCAGGTCTCAATAGAATGATAAGCATATGCAATATATTCTCTGACCACAATTAACTGAAGTGAATCAATAATGGGAGGAAAACTGGAAAATTCACACACTCTTAAAAATCACAGGGGCAAGACTGTGTCACAGGAAACTTAGAAAATGCTTTGGGATGAAAAAATTCTTCTGAGTTGAAGACATTTATGGTAGAAAATACCAAAAATAGTTCCCTATCCACATTAGAGGTAAAATATTACAATACGGTGTCTCTCCCAACTTAAAACAGCTTTCTCCTTCTGAAACAAAACCAAGTTGAAGAAATATCCTGCGAGAAGTCCTTGTGTGTGTGCTTTTACAGGGCTGCTAAAGGTTACTTTGTTTTGGATTCCACCTAACTTTTTTTGTTCCCCAAAAAGCTATTGTTCAAAAGTCCTAAACCCTCATTCCTGCAAATGTGATCATATTTGGAAATAGGATCCTTAATCCAGTAAGATGAAGTTGTACTGAATGGGATGATGGTCCTGATTTAATGTCTGGTGTCCTTATAAGAGGAGCTGGGTGTGTGCACAGGGGAAGGCTGTGTGAAGACAGAGGCCAAGATGACACCATGGCAAGCCAAGGAGTTCCAAAGCTTTCAGAGACTGCCAGAGGCTAGGAAGAGACAAGGAAAAGCACACCCCTAGAGTCTTCAGTGAATGTGGCTCTGTCCACACCTTGATTCCTGACTTGTCAGCTCCAGAATTGTGAGAAACATAGGTGCTGTGAGCCACGTATGTTTGAGATAATTTGTTACTGGATTCAGTCTGAGGAAATTAGTGCAGAATATAATGCCTCAAAGTATAATTCATTTTCTTTAGGCAAAGGGCACTTTATAGAGTCAAAATAATAGAAAAACATATTGCTTGTGGTGGATTTCAGTAGTTTTAAATTGTTTCTGTAGTTCTGCAAGTCTTTAGTACAGGTGAGTGCTCATTTCTTTCACCTGATCTTTACAGTAGAGTTCTAGTTTTACATTGTCCTATTCTGCCAAAGGCTCCCACTTCCATTTTGGGATCAGTTCATGATGTCTCCAATGCCTGGATGGCATCGCTTACCATGGAAAATGCACATAGTAAAAAAATCTGAATCTCAGAATCCCTGCCATTGCCTGGAAACTGATGCAGCAATTTGGCAATAATTTTTGCTTATCAGAGGCACAGTGCTGCAGAAGGGAATTCTTAACAGTCTCACTTCTTAAGCATTCAGGAATGAATTTATCAGTGTCTTCCTTGGAGCACTGACTTACAGTGATTAATGGATGTAGATTAGAAAATGACACTGCCTCTAAGTCATCAGGCTCCTGAGAAACATTGACAGGTGTATCCAGTGGAAGAAATGAGACTCCCAACTTTTTCATTGTCTGGTCTTGAAGGTTGTGGCTGTATTGATGTGCTAACTTAAGAGAACACAGCAAATAAAAGAACAAGATGCTGCCTCAGGGTGCTGAGGCATGAGAAGAGCTCCTGAGAATCCATTAATTTGTGGAGCATAT